GAGAGAGTTTCTTTTGTGGTTTTTTGTTGTATAAGGATAAACCAAATAATGAATAAGAGATAAACACACTCTTATTTTATTTGGGGCGGTTTCTTTTCACACAATAATATTCACTATTATTATATGAAATAGACTCCTTGTTGTATCTAAGCTCAGGGTTTTATAGCTACAATCTCTTTACTTGCAGGGAGGGTGAGATAATCGATTGTCCTAAGTGGATAATCGATTGTTGAGGGCTTCAGGTTCTTGGGCAATTTTCGTGGAATTTTCTGAGAAGGAAGATAATCGATTATCAGAGGAGTGTCAATCGATTATTAGAAGTTGCAGGTTTCTGGGGAAGGCTGATAGTGACAATCGACTATTGAAGGCTGCAGGTGTTTCACGAAGGATGGATAATCGACTACTAAGAGTGATAATCGATTATTTGGCAGCTCGGGACAGGAAAAGAAGTATTTCTTAGAAAAGAGGAACAAGCCAAGTTGGTGTCAAGGGATATCACACACCCTTATCTTAACTTAGGGTTGAGTCTAGAATTCAAATAAGATATTACACACTTATTCAAATAACTAGAACCTAAAACTCACACTCAAGAGAACCACTCTTAAGATATAGGATTAGAAATTTGGAATGAAACACACAAGTGAATCACTTTGATTTTTAAATGGAATACAATGTGTTTCCTACACCCAAGCCTATTGCTGAATATATATGATTACATTGGAGGGAATAAGGGAAAATACAACTCAATCAAAATAATGCCCATGTGCTTATGTTTCTTGAGTGGAATGAAAACGGGGATATGGGTTGTTTGGTGGGGTTTTGGGCTGTTCCTGAGTTGCAGGAATTGTTGGGGGAAGGAGGGATGAATGTGGGGAAGGCTGAGGTTGAGGGCCAAGGAGTGGGCGTAAGATGAAGTAGTACATTTGGCTGGGTATTTGTGGAGGTTTTGGAGAATTTGAATTTGGTCAGGGTTGGGAGACAAAGGGGTGTGTGTGGGGTGTGTCATTTGGACTTTTGTTGTAGGTTTGTTGTGGGGAGTGGATGTATTATTGTGAAAGGAAAATATCCCTGGGCATTTTGGGTTATAATTTGAGTGTATTGGGGAACATAATGGGGACCATGCTGGGTGTGTTTTTGGACACTTATTTTCTGCATTGTAAAAGAAGAGGAAAGGGAAATTGTGGCTTGGTTTTCTTTGGATTCCTGGGAAAGGATTGTGAAATGTTGGGATTGGTTATTAAGGTGGTGATGTGTTTAGGGTAAGTATGGTTAGGGTGCATGGTTTGGTGATGATTTCATTCCAGAGGGGGTCATAACACTTGGACATTATTCCATTGATTTCCTTAAGGACTTGAGGGTGATTTGTGGTACTCTGGGATATATCATCCTCCCCGTCTTCAGAAGAGTTTGACCTCAAACTCGGAAGTTCTTCAGGGTCAAAATACGGGCTAAGATCCTTAATGTTGAATGTAGTAGAAACTCCGTAATCTCCAGGCAAATTGACTTTGTAGGCGTTGTCGTTGATCTTGTCCAAAACCTCGAATGGACCGTTGGCTCTTGGCAGTAACTTGGACTTACGTTTAGTGGGAAAACGCTCTTTCCTTGGGTGAATCCAAACCAAGTCCCCGGGCTGAAAACTTGTGAATTTTCATTCTTTATTGATCTTGTTACTAACCTTCTCATTTACCACTTCGATCAGCTGCCCAACTGTATTGCTCTTTTCCTACGATGGGATCAAGCTGAAGTGGGGTGAGGGGATTCGAGCCATAGACCACCATGAACGGGGATAGTCCTGTGGTCTTGTTTGGGGTTCGGTTATAGGCAAACTCGGCGTGCGGCAGTAACTCTTCCCATTGCTTGATGTTTCATTTGATTAGAACTCGAAGGAGAGTTCCAAGCGTTCTTTGGTGACCTCGGTTTGACCGTCAGTTTGCGGATGGCTAGCGGTGCTAAATTTGAGCTTTGTGCCTAGCTTTCTCCACAATGTCATCCAAAAATGGCTAAGGAATTTGGGATCCCTATCAGAGACCATGCTACGGGGTATGCCATGGAGTTTAACGACCTCTCGGAAGTAGAGATCGGCTACTTGGGAAGCATCGTATGTAGTAACGCAGGGAATGAAATGGGCCATCTTTGAGAATCTATCCACAACCACCATTATGGAATCCTTGCTTCGTTGAGTTCAGGGCAGCCCGGTAATGAAGTCCAGGCCAACATCTTCCCACGGGGCGTACGAGACGGGTAAGGGTAAGTGCATTCCTTGGGGTAAGGCTTGGGACTTTGCAAGTTGACAAGTGTGACATCTCTTGACGAAGTGCTCGATGTCTATATTCATTTTGGGCCAAAAGTAATGCTCTTTTATCATCAAATAAGTCTTGTTGATCCCGAGATGACCGGCTAGTCCACCACCATGGACCTCGTCTATCAGGGTTTCACGAACGCTGCTCCTCGGGATGCACAGTTGATTACCATGAAAGAGGTAACCATCTTTGATTAGGTAATCTCCATGGGGCCGAGATAAGCATTGGGCATACATCTCCTTGAAATCTTCATCATCCTTGTAGAGTTCCTGCAAAAATTCAAAACCAAGAAGTTTGGTACTAAGTACCGTTAGTAATAAGTGTCTCCGGGACAACGCATCCACGCCTTTGTTCATGGACCCGTTCTTGTGCCTGATGGTGAATGTAAAGGTTTGAATGTATTCAACCCATTTGGCATCACGGGGTCGAAGCTTGTGCTGTCCTTGAATGTATTTCAATGCCTCATGGTCGGAGTGAAGGGTGAATTCCTTACTCACGAGACAGTGTCGCCAATGCTCAAGGGACCGTACCAACGCATAGAATTCTTTGTCGTAGGTAGAATAGCGTCTCCGTGTGTCATTGAGCTTCTCACTGAAGTAGGAAACCGGGTGTCCCTCTTGAGTTAGGACAGCCCCGATGCCAACTCCCGATGCCTCACACTCCACCTCGAACAACTTCTCGAAACTGGGCAGGGCCAATACGGGGGCATGCGTTAAGCTATCCTTGATTGCTTCGAAGGCTTGTTGGGCTCTCGAGTTCCACTCAAACTTTGGATTCTTTGTCAAGTCCGTGAGGGGGGCAGTGATCGTACTAAAGTTCTTCACAAATCGCCGATAGAAGGATGCAAGGCCATGGAAACTTCTAACTTGCTGCATTGTTGTGGGAATGGGCCAATCTCGTATGGCTTGTGTTTTCTTCTCATCGACTTTGATCCCTTCACTTGAGATAAAGTATCCCAAGAACTCGGTTTCTTGAGAAAAGAATTGACTCTTCTCAAGGTTTCCATATAACCTTTGTTCTTCCAATTTCTTAATTACCAAAGTGAGGTGATTAGCATGATCTTCCTCCTTCCGGCTGTAGATCAAAATCTCGTCAAAGTATACTACGACAAAGTGACCTATAAATGGTTTCAACACTTGATTCATTAGCCTCATGAATGTGCTTGGTACATTGGTTAATCCAAATGGCATAACTAGCCACTCGTATAACCCGAACTTCGTTTTGAATGCTGTTTTCCATTCATCTCCCTCAAAGATTCGAATTTGATGATAACCACTTCGGAGATCAATCTTTGAGAAGATATTGGATCCATGAAGCTCATCAAACATGTCCTCAAGCCTAGGTATGGGGTACCTATACTTGATGGTAATCTTGTTAAGGGCTCGGCTATCACAACACATACGCCAAGTACCATTTTTCTTTGGTACCAAAAGAGCCGGAACAGCACAGGGGCTCAAACTTTCTCTCACGAATCCTTTGGCTAGTAACTCATCAACTTGCCGTTGGATCTCCTTGGTTTCCTCAGGGTTCATTCGGTACGCAGGCTTGTTTGGTAGGGCAACTCCGGGAATGAGATCAATCTTGTGTTGAATGTCTCGTTTTGGTGGTAGGCCGTGAGGCACATCTTCGGGAAAGAGATGGGAGAATTGCTCAATGATAGGCTTGGCTAACGGGTGAAGTGGGGTTGAGGTTGTGGCGGAATCGGATGCTTCATTTTCAAAGAGAATCAGTTCTTTTTGGGGTTCATATTCATGGTGTTCGGCTTGCAATATAGTGGAAATGAGGATGGGGATTTCTTCTTCGGATGGGGGGGGGAGCTGTGGGGTTAGAGGGGGGAAAGGATGTGAGGGTAACCTTCTTCTTGTTGATGAGGAATGAATATGTGTTGGCAAATCCATCATGGAACAGCTTCCGATCAAATAACCAAGGTCGTCCCAATAGAACATGGCAGGCATCCATTGGAATGATACCAAACTCCGGGAATCCACACGTAATCCCTTGCCATGGTTCAACCATTGAATCGTGTATGGCCTCGGGTGAGGTCTTCAACTTCAGCTTATCTACCAACGTTTTTGAAGCGACGTTGGTACAACTTCCGCTATCCACGATCAAAGTACACACCTTCTTTTGAATAGTACAACGGGTATGGAAAATGTTTTCCCGCTGTAGTTGGTCATCGGGAGTAGCTATGCTACTCAAGGCCCTTCGGATGACCAAGAGTTCTCCTTCGTCTGCTCCAACACACTCTTCTTCTTCAAGCTCTTCTTCAGCCCATGAAGGACTGAGCTCTTCTTCTTCGCATTCAACAATGGCCATTATCTTCTTGTTGGGACACTCTTTGGCAAAATGTCCTATGCCTTGGCAACGAAAACATTTGGGAGTTCGGGTGTTTGTTTGGGCTGTTTTGAATGGGGGTGGATTGGCGGACGTAGATGGGATAGAATTGGGTTTTGAGTGGGTATTTTGAGCAGGAGTGTTTGGAGTTATCTTTGAGGTAGTAAGGGGGGGGGGGGGTTTGGAAAAGGGTGAAGTACGGACAAATGAGGTTTTGTTTCTCTTAAGTTGGGACTCAACTTTGAGAGCCAGCTTAGAGAGCTCTTCAAAGGTATCATAAGGTTGCAGCTCTACTAAATTAGCTATTTGACTGTTTAATCCAAATAGGTAACGTACCAATGTTTGTGAATTGTTTTCGTGAAGATCGCATCTCATCAAAAGTTATTCAAACTCCCGAGTATAGTCTTCAACTGAGCGAGGACCTTGCCGTAGGTGTTGCAGTTTGGAAAAGTTGTCCCGTACATATTGTTCGGGCAGGAACTTCTTCTACAACAAGCTCCTCATCTTGAGCCAAGTCTTCACGGGGGCCTTATTCTCTCGCCTTCTTTTGGTAGATAGGTTGGACTACCAGGTGGAGGCATACTTCCGAAACTTCAAGGCCACGATCTTGACCTTTCTTTCTTCGGGCACTTCTTTGAAGTCAAAGACGCGCTCAACAGTTTCTAGCCACTCTAGAAAGTCATCCGGATTGTTCTTCCCTTCAAAGGTTGGTATGTCAACCTTGAAATCGGTAGCTCCTCGTTCATGATTCTCTTCTCTAGTGGTGTTACTAGAGTTAGCTTCGGGGTGAACTTCTTCCTCTTCTTCGCTTTCCTCCGGAGTATTCACCATGCTCATCTTGAGCTTAGTGAGTTGGGCAACTTGCTTGGCCAAGTACTCAACTTGGGCCTTGAGAGCAGCATTGGAGGCTAGGAGCTCTTCGTTGGACAGGTTGTTGGAAGTGTTTGACATGATGATAGTAAGGGAAAGAAAGAAAGGGTATGGAAAGGAAGAAAAAAAAGGGGAAGTGTGTTGTATGGCCTCACGGGAATGCTCAACAACAAGCTCTGATACCAAATGTTGTATCTCTAAGCTCAGGGTTTTATAGCTACAATCTCTTTACTTGCAGGGAGGGTGAGATAATCGATTGTCCTAAGTGGATAATCGATTGTTCAGGGCTTCAGGTTCTTGGGCAATTTTCATGGAATTTTCTGAGAAGGAAGATAATAGATTATCAGAGGAGTGTCAATCGATTATTAGAAGTTGCAGGTTTCTGGGGAAGGCTGATAATCGATTATCTGATAGTGATAATCGACTATTGAAGGCTGCAGGTGTTTCACGAAGGATGGATAATCGACTACTAAGAGTGATAATCGATTATTTGGCATCTCGGGACAGGAAAAGAAGTATTTCTTAGGAAAGAGGAACAAGCCAAGTTGGTGTCAAGGGATATCACACACCCTTATCATAACTTGGGGTTGAGTCTAGCATTCAAATAAGATATTACACACTTATTCAAATAACTAGAACCTAAAACTCACACTCAAGAGAACCACTCTTAAGATATAGGATTAGGAATTTGGAATGAAACACACAAGTGAATCACTTTGATTTTTAAATGGAATACAATGTGTTCCTACACCCAGGCCTATTGCTGAATATATATGATTACATTGGAGGGCATAAGGGAAAATACAACTCACTCAAAATAATGCCCATGTGCTTATGTTTCTTGAGTGGAATGAAATCGGAGATATGGGTTGTTTGGTGGGGTTTTGGGCTGTTCCTGAGTTGCAGGAAATGTTGGGGGAAGGAGGGATGAATGTGGGGAGGGCTGAGGTTGAGGGCCAAGGAGTGGGGTTAAGATGAAGTAGTACATTTGGCTGGGTATTTGTGGAGGTTTTGGGGAATTTGAATTTCGTCAGGGTTGGGAGACAAAGGGGTGTGTGTGGGGTGTGTCATTTGGAGTTTTGTTGTAGGTTTGTTGTGGGGAGTGGATGTATTATTGTGAAAGGAAAATATCCCTGGGCATTTTGGGTTATAATTTGAGTGTATTGGGGGACATAATGGGGACCATGCTGGGTGTGTTTTTGGACACTTATTTTCGGCATTGTAAAAGAAGAGGAAAGGGAAATTGTGGCTTGGTTTTATTTGGATTCCTGGGAAAGGATTGTGAAATGTTGGGATTGGTTATTAAGGTGGTGATGGGTTTAGGGTAAGTATGGTTAGGGTGCATGGTTTGGTGATGATTTCATTCCAGAGGGGGTCATAACACTTGGACATTATTCCATTGATTTCCTTAAGGACTTGAGGGTGATTTGTGGTGCTTTGGGATATATCACTCCTAACACACACTCAAAAAGTATCCAACTTTAGAGATATTTCATTAGGAAATGGGGAGAACTAGCTTCACACTAATTCAAATATCTTACTCAAGGAGTAAAGAGAATAAAATTACAATATGGTGCTGCATTACAAGGCCTTTGGCCGAAATAAATAAGGGGAAGAAAACTAAGGGGAAGCTTCCTACCACTTTCCTAAAATCAAGTGTATAATATCCATTTGTTTGATGTCTTTGGTTTGTCCTCATTGATCAAGGTTAAAGGGTTAATATGGGGTGTCTTTGAAGAGGGGAATTCGGCAATGTGAAGGGTGAGGGAGGGAGGTGATTTGGCCATGTGAAGGGTGAGGTGAGGGGATAGATTTTTGGTCCACACATGAGGAATAATACATCAAGGATTATCCTTTATTCCTTTGGCTTTATTGTGGATTTGAAAAGTGATAAATGGGCCATTTGGGGGGGCTGAATTCGGATATGGGGGCAAGGGGGTGTGAAGGGGTGTGGGTTTGATGTATTACCACAACAGGACAAAAGACATGTTTTATTCCTTGTCCCCTGGTTTGTTCCTTTTGTAGTGGGGGATGTTTGTGATAGATGGGGACTGATTTTAAGGACAAATGGGGGCATATTTTCGTGACTTTGAAGTAGGAGAGGGTGGGGAAGGTTCGTATTTGATGTAAGGAATATTTAGGGAAGAAAACAACACTCACACTATTTTTGGGTAGTACTTTTCCTTTCAATTTCGGCCAAGGCTTCAATGGAGAGGAGAAGGACTTTATTTGAGTAGTAAATGAAAATACTTTTGGATATGTGGGAGTGGGTTGGGCTTGTAGGCATTTCGGCCTAGGTTGGGTTTTGGGAGAGATAGGTCATGGTTTGGGTTTTGGTGTGGGATGGATCAATGAGTTCAACCCAAAATGGATCATAACACCTAGACATTAAACACTTGATTTCTTTTAATACTTGTGGCGTGTGTGAAGGTGTAACCCGGGATATATCATCCTCCCCTTCTTCGGAAGAGTTTGACCTCAAACTCGGAATATCTTNAAAATACTTTTGGATATGTGGGAGTGGGTTGGGCTTGTAGGCATTTCGGCCTAGGTTGGGTTTTGGGAGAGATAGGTCATGGTTTGGGTTTTGGTGTGGGATGGATCAATGAGTTCAACCCAAAATGGATCATAACACCTAGACATTAAACACTTGATTTCTTTTAATACTTGTGGCGTGTGTGAAGGTGTAACCCGGGATATATCATCCTCCCCTTCTTCGGAAGAGTTTGACCTCAAACTCGGAATATCTTTAGGTTCAAAGTAAGGGCTGAGATCGGCGATGTTGAATGTCGCAGAGACTCCATATTCTCATGGTAGATTGATCTTGTAGGCGTTATCATTGACCTTCTCTAGAACTTCGAAGGGACCATCCGCTTGGGGTAGTAGCTTGGACTTGCGTTTTGTGGGGAAATGCTCTTTCCGAAGATGAATCCAAACCAAATCACCAGGCTTGAACTCAGCAGACTTCCTTCTCTTGTTGACTCGTGCACTCACTTTCTCATTCATTGCTTCAATTCTTTCTCGGACCTTGGCGTGAAGGTCTTGAATCTCCCTGGCTCGTTCCTCGGCTTCCGCACTATATTTTTGTGTTATCACAATTGGATCAAGTTCAAGTGGGGTAAGGGGGTTAGAACCGTAAACAACCATAAACGGAGAAAACCTGGTTGTCTTGCTTGGTGTCCGATTATAAGCAAACTCTGCATGGGGTAGAAGTTCTTCCCATTGCCTTATATTCTTCTTGATGAGCACTTGTAACAACGTTCCAAGGGTTCGGTTCGTCACTTCTGTTTGGCCGTCGGTTTGAGGGTGGTGAGAGGTGCTAAACTTGAGCTTGGTTTCCCATCTTTCTCCAAAGTGTCACCCAAAAATGACTAAGGAATTTGCTGTCCCGATCCGATACCATGTTTCGAGGAATCCCATGTAATTTAACGATGTCTCGGAAGTAGAGGTCAGCGATTTGCGAGGCGTCATGTGTGGTTAAGCATGGCATGAAATGGGCCATCTTTGAGAACCAATCTACCACGACCATGATTGAATCTTTCTCTCGTTGTGTCCTTGGCAGCCCCGTGATGAAGTCGAGGCTAATATCTTCCCATGGTGCCGCGGGGATGGGTAGAGGCAAATACTTTCCTTGAGCTAAGGAATGGCTCTTGGCTCTTTGGCAAATGTTGCACCGTTTGATGTAGTGTTCCACGTCTCGTTCCATCTTTGGCCAATAGTAGTGTTCACGCATCATCATGTGGGTCTTCTCGATGCCAAAGTGTCCCGCTAGTCCTCCTCCATGTACTTCTTCGATGAGGGTCTCACGAAGACTACATTTCGGAATGCATAACTGATTTCCTCGGAACAAATAACCGTCCTTAATGAGGAATTCTCTGTGGGGCCGCACAAGACACTTGGAGAATGTGTCTTTGAAGTCTTCATCCTTTTTGTATAGCTCCTGCACAAAATCAAAGCCAACAATTTTGGCACTAAGGGCCGTTAGTAAGAGGTGTCTCCGGGAGAGGGCATCGGCTCCTTTGTTCATGGACCCATTCTTGTGCTTTATGGTGAAGGTGAAGGTTTGAATGTATTCGACCCATTTGGCATGACGGGGTCGGAGTTTGTGTTGCCCTTGAATGTACTTCAAGGCCTCATGGTCAGAATGAAGTATGAACTCCTTGCTAACCAAGTATTGACGCCAATGTTCTAGGGACCGAACCAGAGCGTAGAATTCCTTATCATAAGTCGAATACTGCCTTCTCGTATCATTCAACTTCTCACTGAAATAGGACACCGGGTGGCCTTCTTGGGAGAGGACAGCCCCTATCCCGACACCGGATGCATCGCACTCCACCTCGAACAATTTCTCAAAGCTCGGTAAGGCTAACACGGGGACGTGTCTCATCCTTTCTTTGATGCTGTCAAAGGCTTGTTGAGCTTTTGGATTCCATTCGAACTTCTGGTTTTTGGTGAGGTTCGTGATGGGTGCGGTGATGGTGCTAAAGTCACGCACGAACCTTCAGTAGAATGAGGCTAGACCATGAAAACTCCATACTTGTTGCATCGACATGGGAATGGGCCAATCCCTTATGGCTTGTGTTTTCCTTTCGTCCACCTTGATACTTTCACTCGAGATAAACTATCCCAAGAATTCCGTTTCTTGAGAGAAGAATTGACTCTTCTCAAGATTCCCATAGAGCTTCTCTTCGTCCAATCTTTTAACCACTAAGGTGAGGTGGTTAATGTGTTCTTCTTCACTCTTACTATAAATCAAGATGTCGTCAAAGTAGACTACGACAAAATGACCTATATATGGCTTCAAGACTTGGTTCATTAACCGCATGAATGTGCTCGGGGCGTTGGTCAGCCCGAATGGCATAACCAACCACTCGTAGAGGCCAAACTTCGTTTTGAACGCGGTCTTCCATTCATCCCCTTCATAGATACGGATTTGGTCGTAACCACTTCGAAGATCAATCTTCGAAAAGATCTTAGAACCATGGAGTTCATCCAGCATGTCCTCGAGCCTAGGTATATGATACCTATATTTGATGGTGATCTTGTTAATGGCTCGGCTATCGCAACACATCCTCCACGTACCATTCTTCTTTGGTACCAACAAGGCCAGAATAGCGCAAGGACTCAGGCTTTCACGAACAAAGCCCTTCGCTAGTAGTTCATCCACTTGGCGTTGTATCTCCTTTGTTTCCTCCGGGTTCATTCTATAGGCTGGTTTATTTGGTAAGGCAGCCCCGGGAATGAGGTCGATTTTGTGTTGGATCTCCCTCTTTGGTGGTAGGCCATGAGGTACATCTTCGGGGAAGATATGGCCATATTGTTCAAGGATGGGGATGGCTAGAGGGTGAGGCTGTTTTGGAGGGGGAGAGGGTTCGGCCACCTCAAGGTCAAGGAGAATGAGGTCCTTGAATCCTTCAAGTTCATGATGCTCAGATTGGAGTATAGTGGTGATGAGAGATGGGGGTTTTGCTGCTTGTTTGGGCCGTGGGTGAGGAAGGTGGAGGTAAGGGAGTGAGTGTAATCTTTCTTTTGTTCATTAGGAAGGAGTAAGTGTTGAGAAAACCATCATGTTGCACTTTGTTGTCGAATAACCACGGGCGACCCAAAAGGACATGGCACGCGTCCATGGGAATGATATCGCACCAAATATCATCTTTGTAAGTCTTCCCAATGCTTAGAGAGATCAAGCACCGCGTATCCACACGTAACCCTTTGCCTTGATTCAACCATTGAATCGTGTAAGGCTTAGGATGAGGGGACACCTTTAAGTGTAGCTTGTCTACCACGGTTTTGGAGGCGACGTTAGAATAGCTCCTGCTATCAATGATTAAGGAGCACACCTTCTTGTGAATTGTACAACAGGTGTGGAAGATATTCTCCCGTTGTAGTTGCTCTTCTTCCTCGGCTATCTCTTCATCCCATATGGGATTATATTCTTCATCTTCATATTCTACCAAGGCCATTATCTTCTTGTTTGGACACTCATTGGCATAGTGACTAGTCCCTTGACATCGGTAACTGTTGTACCCGAGACCCGGGGTCTTATCGAGTAATCAATTTGATGGCGGGTTTACGGAGGAAATGGATGCAAGAAGGAAGCAACTTTGAATTCCTAAGTTCAGAAACTAGTGATAGTCGATTATCATTAAATGATAATCGATTAACAAGATATGATTTCCAAACCACGAATGTTCAGAGATGCCCGATAGTCGATTATCACTTTTATGATAATCGATTGTTGGAAATGGCAGGATAAAATATGGAGGTGATGAAGGAGTTCTTTTTGGTATTTTGATTTATGAAGATAGGATAGAATGTGGCTTAGGAAGAGAAAATGGAGAGGAACGAAATGGGTAGAAAACAAGGATGGATAAACCAAATAATGAATAAGAGATAAAAACACTCTTATTATATTTGGGGCTGTTATCTATTTCACACAATAATAATCACTACTAATGTATAAAATAGACTCCTAACACACACTCAAAAGTAGCCAACTTTAGAGATATTTCATTAGGAAATTCGGTTAAAATAGCATCACACTATTTTAAGAGAATACTCAAAAGAGTAAACAAAGTTTTTCATTCAATACAATCTGGTTTACAATGGCCTCATGGCCGAAATATATACATGGGAAGGGAAGGGGAAATACAATCAAATGAAGATAAATACAACTAGGAAACTTCCTTCCATCTTCCTTACATTTTGACATTATCACAAACATCCTATTTGAGCTGATTTTAAGGATAAAAGGAATGGATTTTGTTTGGATTGTTGTGGTGTGATATCTCGGCCTTATGTGGGAAATAGCAAAGGAATGTTGTGTCACTGAAATTAGGACTAAAATGACTTGTTTTTATGTATGAAATTCGGCCCTAAGGGATCAAGACAAAGGAGACAAAGTTTGGCTTGACTTTAAGTGAATAATAGGACAAGAAGTTACTATTCAATCAAAGACTTCTTTGCTGATTTTGTCCTTTTGTTTTGTTGTTGTTTTCTCATGATTTAGGACTGGATTTTAGGAAGAAAATGGGTGGGGATTTTGTTGGAAAGGTGTAGGAAAATAAGGGGAAGGTCTTATTTCATGAAAGGAACAAAAAAAGTAGAAAACAACACACAAGGTTTGTCTTTCTAGTCCTCATTTTCATCCAAGGCTAAAAAGGAAGGAAAAGACTTTATTTTGATTATCAAATGAAGATTAAAGGCTTTTGGATATTTTGGGAGAGTTTGGGGTTTTAGTGGAGCCATCCAGGGGTACATCAGTAACACACGGGGGCTCTTTTGTTGGTTGAAGGGGCTGTTTTAGGTGGGAGAGGAGTGGGGTTTGGTTTGAATGGAGTTTGGGGATTGGGTGCTTGGCCGTGGGCAGTAGGAGGGGGTTTGGTGGGGGTGTAAGTGGGGCGTGAAAAAGGGGTAGAGTTCCTTGATAGAATGGCTTTGGATTTCTTCATTTGTGACCCAACCCTGAGAGCCAACTTAGTAAGTTCTTCAAATGTAGTGTAGCCTTGCAGCTCCACCGTATTGGCTATTTGGATATTTAGGCAAAAAAGGTACCTTACAAAGGTTTGCTCTTCGTTCTCTTGCAAGTCACACCTTAGTAGGAGTTCCTCAAACTGCTGGGTGTAGTCTTCCACGGACTTCGTACCTTGCCTAAGCGTTTGAAGCTTAGCAAAGTTCTCTCGGGAGTATTCGGTGGGTAGAAACTTCTTCTTCAAGAGGCTCCTCATCTTTTGCCATGAGTCAACGGGAGGCTTCTCACTTCGAGTCCGTTTGGTGCAGGTGTTCGTCCACCAAGTGGAGGCGTACTTGCGGAATTTTAAGGCCACAATCTTGACCTTCTTGTCGTCGAAGACTTCTTTAAAATCAAAGACTCGCTCCACCGTCTCTAACCACTCAAGAAACTCATCCGGGTCATTCTTCCCTTCAAAGATTGGAATATCAACTTTGAAGTCAGAATGGGACTTATCAACTTTGAAGCTAGCTTCCTCTTCATCTTCACTATTTTGATACATGGACATCTTTTGCTTGGTAAGCTTAGCCACTTCTTTGGCCAAGTATTCCACTTGAGTTTGCAAGGCGGCATTGGAGGCCACAAGTTCTTCATGAGACATGCTTCGGGATCGGTTTGACATATTTGAAAGAGGCACGAAAAGGAGTAGGGTGTGGAGGGGGTTGAGGGCCGAAAGTGAGAGGAGATGAGTGAGGGAAGTGTGTTTTGGTCCTTGAGAGATGTGTGACAACAAGCTTTGATACCAAAATGATGTACCCAAGCTTAGGAAAACTATGGATAAATAAGGGCAGATTATAGAGGGGAATATATGGTGAAGAATAGGTTAGATTTGTGCTTGAAATGGTGAAGAAAGTATGGTGGTTTGGAAGAGGTGATAGGGTAGAATGAAGGGCAGGAGAAAAGCAATATTATGGAGTGGTTTTTGATGAAGAAATGAAGTGTTTAAATGGGAGAAAGGGGATGGACGAAAATGGGAGAGAAAGAGGGAATTTCTTTTGTGGTTTTTTGTTGTATAAGGATAAACCAAATAATGAATCAGAGATAAACACACTCTTATTTTATTTGGGGCTGTTTCTTTTCACACAATAATATTCACTATTATTATATGAAATAGACTCCTAACACACACTCAAAAAGTAGCCAACTTTACACTATGTTTGGCTTAAAGATTTTGGAAAGAAAAGAAAAGAAAATGGTTTTCTCTCATTTTCCTCACCAAAATGGAAGGAATTTGGTTTTCCCTCTACTTGATACATTTTGCCTCCTCATTTTCTTTTCCTTCCACTTTTCTTTTCTTTTTCCCTCTAACCAAATAAGAAAAATGGTTTTCCACTTTATTTTCTTTTCTTTTCCCTTTCAAATTCCTTGAACCAAACATAGTGTTAGAGATATTTCATTAGGAAATGGGGAGAACTAGCTTCACACTAATTCAAATATCTTACTCAAGGAGTAAAGAGAATAAAATTACAATATGGTGCTGCATTACAAGGCCTTTGGCCGAAATAAATAAGGGGAATAAAACTAAGGGGAAGCTTCCTACCACTTTCCTAAAATCAAGTGTATAATATAAATTTGTTTGATGTCTTTGGTTTGTCCTCATTGATCAAGGTTAAAGGGTGAATATGGGGTGTCTTTGAAGAGGGGAATTCGGCCATGTGAAGGTGAGGGAGGGAGGTGGTTTGGCCATGTGAAGGGTGAGGTGAGGGGATGGATTTTTGGTCCACACATGAGGAATAATACATCAAGGATTATCCTTTATTCCTTTGGCTTTATTATGGATTTGAAAAGTGATAAATGGGCCATTTGGGGTGTGAAGGGGAGTGGGCTGAATTTGGCCATGGGGGCAAGGGGGTGTGAAGGGGTGTGGGTTTGATGTATTACCACAACAGGACAAAAAACATGTTTTATTCCTTGTCCCCTAGTTTGTTCCTTTTGTAGTGGGGGATGTTTGTGATAGATGGGGACTGATTTTAAGGTTAAATGGGGGCATATTTTCAGGACTTTTAAGTAGGAAAGGGTGGGGAAGGTTCTTATTTGATGTAAGGAATATTTAGGGAAGAAAACAACACTCACATTATTTTTGGGTAGCACTTTTCCTTTCAATTTCGGCCAAGGCTTCAAGGGAGAGGAGAAGGACTTTATTTGAGTAGTAGATGAAAATAAAATACTTTTGGATATGTGGGAGTGGGTTGGGCTTGTAGGCATTTCGGCCTAGGTTGGGTTTTGGGAGAGATAGGTCATGGTTTGGGTTTTGGTGTGGGATGGATCAATGAGTTCAACCCAAAATGGATCATAACACCTAGACATTAAACACTTGATTTCTTTTAATACTTGTGGCGTGTGTGAAGGTGTAACCCGGGATATATCANCTTCAAGGGAGAGGAGAAGGACTTTATTTGAGTAGTAGATGAAAATAAAATACTTTTGGATATGTGGGAGTGGGTTGGGCTTGTAGGCATTTCGGCCTAGGTTGGGTTTTGGGAGAGATAGGTCATGGTTTGGGTTTTGGTGTGGGATGGATCAATGAGTTCAACCCAAAATGGATCATAACACCTAGACATTAAACACTTGATTTCTTTTAATACTTGTGGCGTGTGTGAAGGTGTAACCCGGGATATATCAACAATAAATGAATCCACTTTGGGTTCAAGGAGAGCTGAACGAAGAAGAAGAAATTTTCGGCCCCGATGAAGGTGAACTTTTGGTCATTCAAAAGACCATTAGTCATATGGCTGCCCAGGATGATACCACACACCGAGAGAGTATTTTTCATACTCGATGCTCCATCCAAAATAAGGTGTGTTCAATGATCATCGATAGCGGGAGTAGTGCCAATGTTGTTTCCAAAACAACAGTGGAAAAGCTCAATTTAAAGGTGATGCCACATCCGAAGCCTTATGAGATTCAATTGTTGAATCTTAACGAAGGGATACGTGTGAATACACGTAGCTTGTTCTCCTTTAGCATGGGTCAATCCTTTCACGACGACGTATGGTGTGATGTGATACCCATGAGAGCTTGTCACATTCTCCTCGGGAGGCCATGGTTATATGATCGGAAAGTTACCTACGATGGTTTCACCAGCTCGTATTCATTTGTAATGGATACAATCATTTGTAATTGATACAAGGAGACTCACTCTTGTTTCGATGATACCATCCATCCAATTGTCCCAGGCACAACCCCCATCCATACTCTCCATTCTTATCAAGTCCAAATATTCAAGACCCGAAGAGTTACCCCATGAACCATTGTTGGAGCCAAACCGACCCATGCACCTGGTTGAAAGCCCCCAACACAAGCCCTTCCATGAACGGAGAAACCATGGGACCAAATTAATACTAACAGCCTTTAGCGCCAATGTTTTTATGTCTCATTTGCAGGTATTCCATGAAGGCACGCGTTGGAGAAATAACACTCATTTTGAGTGTGTAAGGTCGTGTTTCCAAGTTTTCCTTTCCCAAGAACCGAAGCGAAAAGTGTTTGAAGATGAAGATTCAAACGTGGTTGAGTCCTGCCCCGAAGATGAACCCGAAGAAAACTCGAGTTTGAGGGCAAACTCTTTCGAAGAAGGGGAGGATGTTATACCCGGGCACGCCCTAACCAAACTCTTGGACACGCCACAAGTGTTCAAACAAATCAGGGGATTCGTGGTTAAGTGTTATAATCCTTATTGGGTTGAGTTCAGTCCTTTGTTCCATTCAAGAACACCACCCGACACCCTTGTTGTTTTCGAACCCCCTTGGCCGCCCCAAACAATGTCCTAACCCACCCTAAACATCCGAAATTCCTTTCCATTTAATTCCTTTCAAAATAAAGTTTTCCTACACTTATTTTAGCCCATGGCCGAAAATAAGGGTGTGTAAACTAAAATCCTTTTTGTTTGTTGTTATTTTCCTTCTTTTAAGCCTTTTATTAAACAAGTAAAACCTTCCCTTCCTTCCTAAAATGATATGGATCGCATTATAAGAAATTTAATTGGGCAAATAGAAATAAAGAGATACACTAACCCTAGTAAATGAAGAAGGTGATCTTTGTTATACTTTTCCTTATTCTTCTCTAAATCCTGATTCTAATCTTGAGATTTTCAATAATGAAAAAGAAGATATTCTTAAGGAAATTGGAAATCTTTATGAATTATTAGAATTCAACCCGAATGAATCTATTAAAATTAATCAAAATGAATGGTTAGTTGATGAATCCAAGGATGAGGAAATTGAGGTGGATAAAATTGTTGAATCCAACATAACATAAGAAGGGCTTCAAATTTCTTCTTTAGGCCAACCACCTCAAGAGGAGGAATTTAATGAAAATAGATACTATCTCGAACAAGAAAAACTTTGGGCAAGTTTTGAAGCAGAATGTCAAGAAACATTGAAAGACTTGCTAGATAGAGGTATTCTTGTTCGAGTTAATTCAATTAAAAATACTCCCTCCGTCCGGGAAAAAACATCCCATTTGGACTTTTCTTCATTTTTTTGAAGGGTTGACTATGGGTGTAATTTCCCTAAAATGCCCTCCCTCTCCCTCCCCTCCTGACCAGCCGACAATCACCGTCCCAACCATCGCCGCTAGTACCTCCTTTTCCGCCCGTCACACCAACACTCATTTCTCCTCACCATCGCCGCCACTCAAAGACGAAGAAATGCAGATCTAGACTCACTGTCACCGTCACCGTCGCTGTCACCGTCGCTGTCACCGTCACCGTCGCTGTCGCCGCCGCCATGCTCAGATCTAGAAGATGGAAGAGATATAAGAAGGGAGAGAAAAAGAAGGAAAAAAAGAGGGGGAGAAAAAAGAGAAGAAGAGGGGGACTGAGGGAGAAAGATGAGATGAGATGTACGGGGAAGAGGAAGAGACAAAGAGAAAGAAGAAGAAGAAGAAGAAGAAGAAGAAGAAGAAGAAGAAGAAGAAGAAGAAGAAGAAGAAGAAGAAGAGAAGAAAGAGAAGCAGAAAGAAATTAAAACAATTGAGAAGAGAGAAAAGGGTGGGGGGATGGGACGGGTAGATCTAGGAAGGAAGTTTGAGAGGGTAAATGAAATTGATTGATAAGGGTATTTTTGGAATAATTGTGGTTAAAATTAGAAATGGGAAGATTATTTTCGGACGGAGGAAAAGGAGAAATCGGAAGATTATTTCCGGACGGAGGGAGTAATGATGAAAATCACAATAATGGGTTGGAGGGAGTAGTGCCCGAGGAAAGCTCTATTGTTTCTCCATTGGGTTTAGAGGAGAAAATAGATGAACAAGGACCTGTTTGTTCGTCCTTCGTGGGGAAGAATGGAGAGCATAAAAGCAAGGTTGAAGCTGGTTTTGAGCAAAATTCCGAGGGCATTGATCTTTTAGAGGGCTCTGTTGAATCTAATCCGAATTTATATATTGAAGAGAGCTCCATATGAATAATTATTCAAGGAGATCTTTTAGAGTCAACTAAGAATTTATCACAAAATAAGGGTCTCCATGATCTTTTTTTCATGAAGCTAGACACCCCTAAGCATGTGCCGTTATTAGCATATTTTATAAGATGGGGTGTGTTTAAGTCTTTTTATAAAATATTTACTCTTCTTTGGCTTCATGAATACACCGGTTTGCGCCACCTTACGGCGTGTTATATCTCGGCTCCGGGTGTAACGATATTAAGCTCAAACTCAAGAAACAAAGTCCTTCGATTCTCAAGATAAGAGGATAATCGATTATCTAGTCTAGATAATCGATTATTTGCTGGTTCAGTTTCTTGGATTTTCAGGAAGGGCTAATAGTCGATTATCAGTATGGTGATAATCGATTATTGAGGACTGCATGAGTTTCCACTCATGTATGATAATCGATTGCCGAGGGTGATAATCGATTAACGATGCCTGCTGTTGTTTTGACGGAGGAATGATAATCGATTTTTAACAATGCTAATCGATTATTTTGACAGATTTCTGGGAACGAAATGATGGTGTTTGTGTGGGGGATGGCTGGGAAAATATGGAGATGATGAAGGAGTTCTTTTGGTAATTTTAATGTAAGGAAGGAAGAGAGATTAAGGATAGAAATGGTGGGAAAAGAAATGGATAGAAAATAATGATGGATAAACCAAGTTGGTGTTTAAGAGATATTACACACTCTTATCCTAACTTGGGGTTTGAATCTAGAATTTAATTAAGAAATGACACACTTAATCAAATATCTAGAACCTAAAACTCGCACTTAAGATAACCACTCTTAAGATATAAAATTAGGAATTTTGCTAAAATAGCATCACACTATTTTAATAATACTCAAAGAGTAAAAGATTTTAATATTCAAAAGGTTGTGTTACAATGGCCGTAAGGCCTGAGTTATATAGGCAGGGGAAGGGGGAGATAATTCACAATACATTGAATGTAAGCTTAGGGAAGCTTCCTTGCAACTATCTCTTCCAAGGCATGGGGTATTGGCNTTACACACTCTTATCCTAACTTGGGGTTTGAATCTAGAATTTAATTAAGATATGACACACTTAATCAAATATCTAGAACCTAAAACTCACACTTAAGATAACCACTCTTAAGATATAGAATTAGGAATTTGGCTAAAATAGCATCACACTATTTTAATAATACTCAAAGAGTAAAAGATTTTAATATTCAAAAGGTTGTGTTACAATGGCCGTAAGGCCTGAGTTATATAGGCAGGGGAAGGGGGAGATAATTCACAATACATTGAATGTAAGCTTAGGGAAGCTTCCTTGCAACTATCTCTTCCAAGGCATGGGGTATTGGCGACTCATTCCTGTCTCCTTAGTGGAATAAAATCAGGGATGGGGCTGGGGATTGTGGGGTTTTGGGTTTTAGGATTGTAGTGGTTGTTTTCCTAGGTTTTGTGGGTATTATTTGGGTAAGAATGGAGGGTTGTTTTTGGTCATTAAAAGGGGACAGGGCTGGGTATTATTTGTGGATATTTTGGAGTTATGGCTTTGGGTTATTGTGAGGGAGAACATGGGCAGGAAGTAGGGGCTGGAGGTGGGTCATGGCTTTGGCTCTTTGTGGGTGTTGTGTTGGGATTGTGAGGCTTATTTGGGCAGGGAATGAAAGGAAGGAAGAGAGGGTTTTACTGGTTTATTAAAAGGCTTAAAAGAAGGAAAATAACAACAAACAAAAAGGTTTTGGTTTACACACTCTTATTTTCGGCCATGGCTAAAATAAGAGTAGGAAAAACTTTATTTTGAAAAGGAAATATTTTGGATGTATAGGGAAGGTATGGGAAGTGTGGGCTCAGCCTAGGGTGGGTTTAGGACAACCATGGTGTTGGGTTGGGTTCTAAGGCAAGAAAATGGAGAAGTTTCAACCCAATTAATGTCACCACACTTGGGCTCTATTCCCCTGATCCGTCTATCCCTTGGCGAGCTACGGAGAGTCTTCGGGCATGCTCCCGGATATATATCATCCTTCCCTTCTTCGAAAGAGTTTGCCCTCAAACTCGGCTTTTCTTCACGCTCATCTTCGGGGTTTGGATGTGGTAATCTATCTTTATCTCTAGAACACCTCGAGGACGTGTTCTCTCTCACACCTGTGCCTTTGTGAATGACCTGCAAATTAAACAAAAAAGTGTTGGCATTAAAAACCGTTAGTGTCGGTTTGCCCCCGAGGCTTTCCTTTTCACAGAAGTGGTCGGGCAGGGGGTCTTTAGAGAGGCCCAACAGCTGGTTTTGCTCAAGAAAGGAATCATATGGTGACTCTTTAGATTTGTGGTAGGCAAACATGGCAAGCACGGATGGGGGCGGTGTTTCGGGCAGCTTGTTGGATGGTATTATTGGGGAAAGAGTGATTCTCCTAGTATTCAAGAAGAATGAATACGAGTTGGTAAAGCCATCATAGGAAACTCGCCGATCATATAACCATGGTCTCCCAAGTAGGAGATGACAAGCTTTCATGGGAATCACATCGCACCAAACCGTATCGTGGTAAGACGGTCCTACATGAAATGAAACCACACTTCGTGTCTTCACACGTGCTCCTTCATCTAGATTCAACCAATGAATCTCATATGGATCGGGATGCGGCAACATCTCTAGATTGTGTCTTTCCACCGTTGTTTTTGAGACGAGGTTGGCACTACTCCCGCTATCAATTATCATCGAACAAATCTTTTTGTTTATGGTGCAAGGATTACGAAAAATACTCTCCCTGGGTGAGTGATCATTTCTGGAAGCCTCTAGGTTCTTGGTCTTTTGAACGACCAATAGCCCTCCTTCGTCCGGGCCAATTATCTCTTCTTCTTCTTCTCTTTCTTCATTAACCCAAGACGGGTTAATCTCTTCGTCATCCATCTCGATGATAGCCATGAGCTTTTTATTGGGACACTCACTAGCGTAGTGACCGATCCCTTGGCAACGAAAACATTTTTTAATTCGGCTATTTGACGAACTTGGTTTTGAAGGGGTGGATGGGTTTGGCGGGGAAGTGGTGCGAACGGGCCTGGAGTTTTGGAATGAAGTGGGCGTGGGCTTTTGGGCATCTTGTGGGGTGGCGTGTGGACTGTTTGGAGAGGAGTTGATTGGGTGTTGATACGGGGTAGATGTTCGGTTTAAATGGGCCTTACCTTTCTTGAGTTGGGCTTCCACTTTCAACGCTAACTTAGTTAGCTCGTCAAGACTTTCGAACGTTTGCAGCTCCACGGTGTTGGCTATTTGGGTGTTTAGGCCAAATAGGTACCTCACAAATGTTTGTGAATCGTTCTCTTGAAGGTCACACCTCATCAAGAGTTCCTCGAACTCTCGGTTGTACTCCTCTACGGACCGGTTGCCTTGCCTCAAGTGTTGAAGCCTAGCAAAATTCTCCCTCACATAGTGAGTGGGGATAAACTTCTTCTTCAAAAGGGCCATCATCTTTGTCCACGTTTTCACGATGGGTTTTCCTTCTCTTCTGCATTTGGTGGTAGTGTTAGCCCACCACGTGGAAGCATAGCCTCTAAACTTCAAGGCTATCAACTTGACCTTCTTGTCTTCCGGAACTTCGGCATAGTCAAAGGCGCGTTCAACCGTTTCTAACCATTTGATGAAATCATCGGGGTCGTCCTTGCCATCAAAGGTTGGGATTTCAACCTTGAAATCAGAGGAAGACTTCTCTTGGTTGTTTCTCCTTATGGTGGGAGAAGGAACTCCTGATTGGACGTCTTCTTCTTGCTCATCTTCACTTTCCTCTGGAGTTTGGACCATGCTTTCAACTTGGTGAGTTGAGCTACTTGTTTGGCCAAATACTCAACTTGAGCTTTGAGTTCGGCATTGGATGCAACCAAATCTTCCCTAGTAATGTTTTGGGGGGTGTGAGACATGTTTTGGCTGAAATGAGGATAAAGGAAAGGAGAAAAAGTGGAAGTGTGTTCTTGGTCCTTTGGGATGTAGGAACAAGAAGCTCTGATACCAGATGTTATATCTCGGCTCTGGGTGTAACGATATTAAGCTCAAACTCAAGAAACAAAGTCCTTCGATTCTCAAGATAGGAGGATAATCGATTATCTAGTATAGATAATCGATTATTTGCTGGTTCAGTTTCTTGGATTTTCAGGAAGGGCTAATAGTCTATTTTCAGTATGGTGATAATCGATTAATGAGGACTGCATGAGTTTCCACTCATGTATGATAATCGATTGCCGAGGGTGATAATCGATTAACGACGCCTGCTGTTGTTTTGACGGAGGAATGATAATCGATTTTTAACAATGCTAATCGATTATTTTGACAGATTTCTGGGAACGAAATGATGGTGTTTGTGTGGGGGATGGCTGGGAAAATATGGAGATGATGAAGGAGTTCTTTTGGTAATTTTAATGTAAGGAAGGAAGAGAGATTAAGGATAGAAATGGTGGGAAAAGAAATGGATAGAAAATAATGATGGATAAACCAAGTTGGTGTTTAAGAGATATTACACACTCTTATCCTAACTTGGGGTTTGAATCTAGAATTTAATTAAGATATGACACACTTAATCAAATATCTAGAACCTAAAACTCACACTTAAGATAACCACTCTTAAGATATAGAATAAGGAATTTGGCTAAAATAGCATCACACTATTTTAATAATACTCAAAGAGTAAAAGATTTTAATATTCAAAAGGTTGTGTTACAATGGCCGTAAGGCCTGAGTTATATAGGCAGGGGAAGGGGGAGATAATTCACAATACATTGAATGTAAGCTTAGGGAAGCTTCCTTGCAACTATCTCTTCCAAGGCATGGGGTATTGGCGACTCATTCCTGTCTCCTTAGTGGAATAAAATCAGGGATGGGGCTGGGAATTGTGGGGTTTTGGGTTTTAGGATTGTAGTGGTTGTTTTCCTAGGTTTTGTGGGTATTATTTGGGTAAGAA